AGTGAAATGAGATAAAAGGAATGGTCTTCTTCCTTCAGACATCCCAAGTGAGCTCAAACAAGATGGATTCAGCAAAGGCAAAGTCAAATCAGGTAGGATGGGTGGAGAAGGGAAGAAGCATCCTCAGAAATGAGACTGTTCTTCTGCCTTGTAGAAACTGGAGCTGGAGCAGAGATGTTCAGTGGAGGGAGGGTGAAGTGAGCAGAGGGACAGAGGAGGTAAATTAGAGCTGCAAGTCTGAGACTGACAAAGGGATTCCTAGTTTTTGGCAAACACAAATCAGAATAGAGTAGACCCCACTTGATACTCTGGTTCCCAACTTGACTTTTTTTTAATTTGTGCCTCCATCTTGAGAATGTATAACTTGCTTAAGAACAGTAGGCTTTTCCTTAAATAGAACACAATTTGTTATGCCAGGAACACAATAATTTACAGGTATTTTGTATTGTTGCTATATCAATATAATTTTAAGAGGCTTATTCAGAATCATGTTTTAGTTCCTTATTGAGACCCATTTAAATTTCCTTTGGAGTTATTTATTTATAAAATCATTACTGTTTCCTTGAGTTAAATTATATACTTTATGGTTTATGGGATTTATGCACAAAAGAGATACTATCTTCAGAAAGAGAGATGCTAAAGTTGACTTTGAAATACTCAATAATTCATAACTTTTAGTTATTTCTTCCTCTATATTCACTAAAGAAAAATGTTCATTATTTCATTTGGTCATGAAACAAAGGCCTTTTTGGTACTAGGGATTGAACTCAGGGTCTGGTGCTCTTGTTTGTTCAAGGTTGGTCACTTGAGTCACAACTTCCCTTCCAGTTTTTTTGATGGTTAATTGGAGATACAAATCTCATGGACTTTCCAGCTCAAGCTGGCTTCTAACCACAACCCTGAGATCTTAGCTTCCTGGGTAACTAAGATTACAGGCCAGAGCCACCAGCACCTGGCAAAACAAAGGTCCTTATTATTTAAAAATTTTCCCATCTTAATGTTTCAAATAATATTGTTAAGATATATTATTTTACTTCATAGAAAACATTCTTATAGACTCCTTACCAATACTAATTCCAGCATTAATATTGACCATATTTAGGAGTCTTTATTATTTTAATACTAGAAGCCTTTGGGAAAAAATTCACATAAGATTTCTATATTTTCATTTATTTATTTATTGGCAGTACTGGTTGAAGGATTGACACCCACCGTATTATCCCTGGCACATACAGAAGCCATGCAAAACCCCAGGTATGCCTGGACATGCTTGACATGTGAGCTGGGAAATGCACCTAAGCCTGGCTATAAACATTTCATTGTGGGCCCACTGAAAGCCCTGACCTTCCTAGACCCAATGGCGTTTCACTAGGCTCTGCCTCATTGTCAGATCCCATATAAGTCCAACCCCAAATCCACCCCCTCACACAACCTCCATATCTGTGGGATGTTCTGTGGCTCTCTCTGCCAATAGTCTTAGCCTGTGGAGAATAGAGTCCTGTCTATTCCTTTTCCATTTTCCTCCATTTTCCTAACACTGGGGATGAACTCAGGGCCTAATACTTGCTAGGTAAGTGCTGTACCACTTGAACCCTTTTGGTAATCAACTTTTGTTATAAACAAGTGGTTCTGGAAGCTCAGCCTTTCCTGTTCACCTGTTAGTCAGCTAAGACTGAATATAAAAAGTTTCTAAAAGCCACAGTTTATAGCTCTAGTTCATCTTGTAATGTGTACTTTGTCATACCATCTGTCATATGACTTAAATACTGAAATTCAAAGTATCACATCCTATATGTTTTTTTTAAAAAACAGTACGTTACTACATTATTAAAAACAGTAGATGAGTTGGACACCAGTGGCTGAGTAGCTGTAATCCTAGCTACTCAGGATGCTGAGATCTAAAAATCTGGGTTTGAAGGCAATCTGGCCAAGAAAGTCCATGAGACTCTTATCTCCAATTAATCACAAGAAAGAAAGAAAGAAAGAAAGAAAAGAAAGAAAGAAAGAGAGAAAGAGAGAAAGGAAAAGAGAAACAAAGAAGGAAAGAAAGAGGAAAAAAGGAAGGAAGGAAGGAAAGAAGGAAGGATGGAAGGAAGGAAGGAAGGAAACGAAAGAAAAGAAAAGAAAAGCACTTGTGGCTCAAGTGGTTGAGAGCTAGCTTTAAGCAGAAAAAGCTAAGGAACCATGCCTAGGCTTTAAGTTCAAGTCCCATATTAGCATGCACAGCATGATCTCTCTCTCTCACACACACACACACACATACACACACAATTAAATCAAGCTTGAATAGAGAAAAATTTACCAGCCTGAATTTGTTTTTAGTGCTCAAACTCCTAATTACCCCCTGAAACAAATCTTCATTGGTCACTTTGAATTATAAGGATCACTAAACACTGACTGGGCCCTCAGATCTGGTTGTGAAATTCAGCTTTGCAAATAATTTGCTAGATGATCTTGGGCTTGTTGCTTAATCTTTCTAATTCTTAATCACTTTGTTCCCAATGAAGGGCTTGGAATACTTAGTTGATTTCTGTTTCTTTCTGACTCAAAAAGTCTATGCTTCAGGCCGGGCGCTGGTGGCTCACGCTTGTAATCCTAGCTACTCAGGAGGCTGAGATCTGAGGGTCGCGGTTCAAAGCCAGCCCGGGCAGGAGAGACCCGAGACTCCTATCTCCAATAAACCACCAGAAAACCGGAAGTGGCGCTGTAGCTCAAGTGGTAGAGCGCTGGCCTTGAGCTGAAGAGCTGAGGGACAGCGCCCAGGCCCAGAGTTCAAGCCCCACGACTGACCAAAAAAAAAAAAAAGTCTATGCTTCTAATCCTAAAGAAGAAATCTGACTTAATTAGATAATTGCAAGTGAAGAGCTTAGTTGAATTTTATTTTCTATTATTTCTAGTGGAAATGCTAAGGGGTTAAAGTATTCTTGCTTATTATCAGATTTAATCTTAGTAAAAGATACAACTCTTCTTAGGTAAAAGAATAGATTCTTAAATTAATGTATGGACTAAATCAACGTATGGGTTAGTGGTGTGGTGCATTTGCCACAATAACCTCATGGTGTTTCATTTATTAACATTCTTTTTTATTTTTATATTATTTTATTTTATTTGTGAAGATACTGTACAGAGGGGTTACACTTACATGTGCAGGATAAGCAAAAAGAAAAAAACCGGAAGTGGTGCTGTGGCTCAAGTGGTAGAGCGCTAGCCTTGAGCTGAAGAGCTGAGGGACAGAGTTCAGGCCCACGACCGGACCCAAACAAACAAACAAACAAACAAAAACAAATATCAGTCTTATTAACATTCTTGATGATGACTTAAGGAAGATTTATTTTTTCAAATCAAAGTTGTGAGAGATAGTTCTCTCTCCTAAGATCAAGATATCTATGTTAAGACCATAGAATCAAGCAAGATTTAGAAGCATCTCTCCATAAAGGGGGAAAAATAAAGGCCAAGTGTAAGATGATAGAAATTATCAGGAATTAAATTCTATGGAATACAATATTCCAATTAAGAATTTCTAATGCCAATTCTAATGAACCAGTTTCACCATATACACCTGTAAGGATGTACTCTGTCACCTCTACTTTAGTATTTATGCTTTTTTTCTGTGCTCCATACTGGTACCTAAAACATCATGTAAACCAACATGTAACTGGAACAAATAAGCCTTAAAATGTTTTCACCTTCCCTTCTTTTTTGTTTCCATCTACACCCTCCAGAGTAGCTCAATCAAGCCACTGACCATGCTGCATAAAAGTGTAACTCTCGAACATCTAACTTACAGTTTAAGAAAAGGAATTTCAAGAAGCTGAAGCATGTATTTTAGAGGATGAGATCAAAGAAAAGGGAGGGAGTAGACAAATGGAGAGAGGAGGTTAGTCATAATATTCAATGTACCTGTGTGAAAATGGAATCAGGCAGCTTGAGATGTGTAGGGTTGGGAGAGATGTTGGAGAATGAGGGAAAGGGTGACAATGATAAAGATGCATTGTACTCACAAACTGACATGTTGAATTGAAACCTCTTTCTACAACTACTTAAAAATAATAAAATATAAAAAAAATAATAATAAAATATTATTTAAAAATAAATAGAACGTGCTTGAGCTCCATTCACAGTAGCGCTCAGACCAAAGAAAGCGCATGCTCCCCTGGCATCCTCTGCAGACCAAGCCTCATCAGCTGTTAGGAATCCAATCTGAGACATCCAACTTAAAATAAGGCTATGACAAATCCTACTTGATATATGCCAAGTCGGAGATTTGGGATGGAGAAATTTAAAACCAAGTCACATGAAGAATGCTTCAGGATCTAAGAAGTTTAGTTTGGCAAGCGCATATGAAGCACGAAAAAGAACTCAGAAAAAAATCCTGCAAGACATTTGAGGAAGTTGGCGGGCTGGTAGATGAACCCAGGCAATGCATGCAGGCAATGCAAACAGGCAATGCAAGCAGCTAGCAGTTGAACCAACACAGAGTGACCTGAGTTCCGGACCACACCCAGGACTGTGAACTTACATTTGACCAGAGGCTATGGTGGAAAAGATGGCCCTGCCTCAGTCGGGGAGCCTGATTTAGGTGTCTTCGGCCCAGCCCCCATTAGCGCTGGGACTGGTCTTCAAGCTCCCTAGGCCTTGTTCCCAGCATGCTTGGCTCCAGCCTGGCTCTGCCCTGAAACCTACAAGGAACCACGCCCTACCGCTCTGCCCCGCCCTGCGAGCGCTCTAGACCAAGCTCCGCGCCCACTTGCCCCGCCCCGAACTCCAGAAGCCCCGCCTCCAACTCTACGCCCCGCCCCCTGGTGCCGTGGCCCCTCCCTCGCCGCGTTCCAGCCGCGGAGCCTCGGCTGGCCTACCGCGCTGACGAACCATGACGCCTCAATGGTTGCCTGGGCGCGGGGCGGGAGTTCGGAGTCGGTGGAGTGGCGGCTCTCTTCCTCTCACCTCTCCTGGGGACCTGGGGCTGTGACTGAGCATTGGCGGCCGTAGGGCCGAGAACCATGAGCGCTGGGAGCGCGGGCTGCTCGGCGGGACTACTGCTGGCCGTCGGCTGGCTGCTCCTGGCGGGCCTCCAGTCCTCGTGTGGGACCAACGTCACCGCTGCCATCCAGGATCCCGGTTTGGGCCCCGACGGCCAGGCGGAGGCCGACGGCGAGGGCGAGGGCGAGGGCGAGGGCGAGGAGGAGGAGGATAGCGACACCGAGGTGGCCGAGGAGGTCCCGGTTGAGGCCGCGGAGGACGGTGAGGGCGGGAGGCTGCCTGGGTTGAAGGAGGCCTCTGTGGAGGCCCCGGGCCTGCCCTTGGTTCGGACAGTGAGGATCAGCCGCCACACGGGCAGTAGAGCTGGCTTGCACACATCAGCCCCCAGCCGACCCATTTCGTGCATGCTTAGCACCCTGAAGGAGGGAGGTGCTGATTGCTCCAGGCTGCAGTGGCGTAAACAAATAAGCACACTGTAAACCAACTGCTAGGGACATACTGTGTGCTTTGTTGCTTTGGAGAAAGTTACACAGTTTGAAGGCATTGGAAGTAGCTTCCCTGGAGAGGGAATCGCTTTGATTCTGGTGGCATGCATTTATTCTCATCCCAGGGTAGAAGAATTTTTGTTTTTGTTTCAAGTTCTAAATTACTTGAAATCCTCTTCCTTTCCACATTTGCCCTTGGGAAAGGAGTTAAACAAAAAGCTGAATTCCCCTCACTATGGTGCATCTAGAAAGACCAGTATCTTTACCACCTCCCAGTTCTATGACAGCTTGGTAGAGCCTCTACAGTTCAGCAACTTATATATTTAAATTCCGACAAAGGAATGGTGGTAATAGAAAATACCTCTGGAGTGATCCACTCCATGGGCATTGTTAGATGATAATGGTTAACATTAGGGACATACGGGGAGAATGAGCCTGTGCAGGGTACATAAATTTGCTTGGTACTGCTGGCTCATTAAGCAATAAACTTGGCAAGCTAGTGTACAAGTTATATTGATTAGTAACTCACATGCTGGTAGGTAAAATGTCAGTTACAGGCTTGCAGCCCTTGGAAGGAACTTGATTCCCTTCCTCCATAAATGACCCAGCAGAGATTTCTTAATCTCCTTGATGTTCTTGTGCCCCTCAGTCTGTACATTGAGAGTGGGTGCTCTGACAGTCAGCTTTTCTTTTCTTTCCTGATGACCCCCAGAGTATCAGAAAGAAATTAGCTATCTGAGGTTAATAGTGGGGTAGGTCCAGGTTTGTACTGCCTTGATAACATTACATTACAGACAGCTTGAAAAGGTCCTTGGCTTTGGAAATATGAGAAGAAGAAAACAGAATGACTGATAGCTATTATTTCCCTTTAGTCTGTAATGGAACAATTTTAGTATGGAACCGGTCAAGGGATACTTTTAGTTGTAAAATGCCACATATTATTTAGGCAATACCCAGATAATGGAATGATAATGTCTTAACTTCAAGTTCAAATGTAGGTTACTTATTCTCTTAGTGTCTTCATGTCTACATTTGTGTATTGGAGAGAAGCTACTATACTCCTGGGATTTTTAAATGTGTGTTTTCTTGTGAGAAATACAGAACAGTAAACAATCAGAGGTCACATATCTGAATATTTCCAGAACCATGACTAAAACTTGCCAGCCCTTTTTAACCCTAGGCTAGTGCTCTACCACTTGAGCCACAGCACCACTTCTGGTTTTCTGGTTGTTTATTGGAGATAAGAGTCTCACGGTTTTTCCTGCCCGGGCTGGCTTTGAACAGCAATCCTCAGATCTCAGACTCCTGAGTAGCTAGAATTACAGGCATGAGCCACTGGCGCCTGGCTTAAAAGACTTTTTATACAGATTAACATGGCAAAACCTCAAATATATATATCACCAAAGCTAGGAGATATATACCATAACTGAGCAAAGTAATTCAAATGCAACTCAATGCTTAGCTGTCCAGCCTGAACCTGGAATGTATTGGTTTTGTAAATATACTTCTGGATTTTAAATACATCTGTAGTACATCTAACTTATCATTACTTTGGTTCTTGTCACATTTGTATTATTAAAACAATACTTTTGAAAACTGAGAAGACACTTTGTTGAAAAGAATGACATTTTTTGCTGCGTAATTGCAAAACATTTACATTTCCAGATTTATTAACACTGATTGGGATGATTAGTTGACTATGACACCCATTTTCTTTCTGTCACCCTTATATACATACCTTCCATTGCTTACTAAGCTTGTTAAATATTGGTGCATAAACATAAGAAGGAATTCCATCCACATACTTTTAGCAAAACAATATGATCCAGGTTATTGTCACATTTCAGGATCAAAGCCATCCACTTGAAAGGTGTCTATGAATCTATAATTTTCACCTTTAAAATGCAATATTCTCTCATCAATTCTTAAGTTAGGGAAAATTTAGCTAGGACATTCACTTAATATAGCATCATTTCTCACAAATATTTTTTTTCTTATATTATCAATTTCACATTATCTCTATCACCCAAAGAGTAATTATCTGCCTCTGTATTCATCTTTATTTTTTTGTTCTGAGACCGGGACTCAAACTTGGTATCTGATGCTTTCACTGATTGGCTGGCTCTCTACCACCTGAGCCACAACTCCAACCCTTGTGGTCATTTTCTAATTTGTTTTCATACTTGTGAAATTTTTTTTCTGTCAATTTTGTTTCTTTTTGCCATTATGTGGAAAAATGAAATGTTCTGAAATCTCAACTTTATGCAGTGAAAACCAGACTAGGCTGTGAAGAAGGTGTCTGTAGGCATTTTCAAAATGCCTTAAAGGTAATATGAAGCAATAAGAAAAGACAGACTAATGTAATTGTCCTGGTTCATTTCATAATTACATCATTCTAGGCAATTCCAGTCATTCTCAATTTTATTATTTTAGACTTTTTAAAACATAACTTGGAAAAATTGAGATTCAATCAAAAGTTAATTATGGATTATGAATAAATTGTTTCAAAATAAAAAAATCACATTCTGTTAGATTTATATCCTTATACTATTTTTACATCTTAAATAACTTTTAAAATGTGTTTTATAACTTTTATATCAATATATCCTAAGATTTATAAATGCATAATTACAGTAGAGAATGACTTTTATTGAGTATTATCATATAAAAGTATAAAACTATATTTTCTTTCATTCTAATAAAGAATAGTCATTAAGTAAGCTTTCAAATAATCTCCAAAAAATGATCAAAGATCATCATTGCTCCCTGATGATAGGTATTAATACTTATACTATATTAATATATTATGTATTATGTAATACATTATGTATTAATAGTTACACAGATGCCAGTGGCTCATGCCCATAATCCTAGCTCTCAAGAGGCTGAGATCTGAGGATCACAGTTCAAAGCCAGGCAGGAAAGTCTTGTGCAACTCTTATCTCCAATTAATCACACACACACACACACACACACACACCAGAGCTACAAGTAGAGTTGTGCTTCAAGTGGTAGAGCATTAGTCTTGAGCAAAACAAAACAAAAACCCTCAGGGACAGTACCCAAATCCTGAGTTCAAGCCTTAAGACTGGCACAAAATAAAAAAAGTTACAGTGTGGGGTCTGGGTCTAGAACTGAAGAGAACATTCCAGAATGTGGCTAGAACACAAAGAATGGGTCATCTCCTGCCTCATTGTGGACAAAGGCTTTTAACATACAGTTTAAAACTCATTGGAGTTTTAGAAAACCCTCTAGTGAACTCATTGTTGAAGCTCTATTCATTTTTGCAAATGTTCTTCTATAAATTAAGATAACACATACAGTATTTTTGGATAGTTCCCTTCTCAGCTCTCTATATGAGACTTTTTATTTCTCAATGCCTAAGGTTTACTTTTGTTAGTTTTACCCATTCTTTCATTCTTTGTTTTTTTAGGTCCAGACTTTTATCATGAAAGTTGTTTGGTAACTTTCTTGATTTTGCAGGACCCCAGATTAAGTAGCATGATATCAGGTTCTTTTTTTGGGGGGGGAGGGGTCCGGTCGTGGGGCCTGAACTCTGGGCCTGGGCACTGTCCCTCAGCTCTTCAGCTCAAGGCTAGCGCTCTACCACTTGAGACAGAGTGCCACTTCTGGCTTTTTTTCTTTTTGCTTATGTGGTGCTGAGGAATTGAACCTACGGCCTCAGGCATGCAAGGCAAGTGCTCTACCACTGAGCCACCTTCCCAGCCCTCAGGGTTCTTTCTCTCAGGCCATTAATACAAAGCTGAGCAGGAGAGAACTTGTGACACACCAATCCTACCACATTGCTGTTAACCAGTTAATTAGCATCTGCGGATCTTACTCTTTATCCAGTTACACATCAAATTTTATTGGCATTCATTTGGATTTAATGAGAAATATTGAGGATGAAATGCCACAATGAAATCTAAATCAATCAATCAATCCAATCAATCAATCAATCAATCTATCTATCTATCTATCTATCTATCTAATTCTCGCCTACCCAATTCTGTAGTGTTCCAATTTTAAAAAATCATTGAATGCCTTAATGGACACTCAGTGTATCAAAGAACATTAAAGCTTGAAAGGAACTTCAGGGATTATCTAATTCAATCACCTAGCTTTTTCTGGGAGGAAATTCAGATTAGGAGAAAGTTCCCAAAGTTACATAGGTAGTGAATAGTAGAGCTAATTGACAAATGGTTTTTGAAGAAGAGGTTATGATAAAACTGAATCCAACACTCAGTCTCTTATACATGTTTCCTTTGTTCAGAATTTAGCTTTTACCATCTGTCTTATAATGTGTTACCTGTAAATATTTAAACATTTCAAACATAAAATGTCAATTCAAGCTCGGTGACTATGGCTCACACTTGTAATCCTAGCTACTCCAGAGTCTGAGATTTGAGGATTGCAGTTCAAAGCCAGCCTGAGCAGGATAATCCATGAGACTCTTAGCTCCAATTAACCACCAGAAAACCAAAAGTGGCACTGTGGCTCAAGTGGTAGAGTTCTAGCCTTGAGCTGAAGAGCTGAGGGACAGGGACCAGGCTCAGAGTTCAAGCCCCATGACCAACCCCCCCCAAAAAAAAAAAAGTCAGTTCAAAAGTGGCACATCATGGTAGACTAAGCCAAGTATATTGACTGACTTGTGTCAAGAGCCTACTGTGTATTCGTGGTACTGTATTTAGTGCTCGAAAATACAGAATCAAGTGTTTATGAAACTGCAGATTTGGGCTGGGAAGGTGGCTCAGTGGTAGAGCACTTGCCTTGCATGCCTGAGGCCCTGGGTTCGATTCTCAGTACCACATAAGCAAAAAGAAAAAAGCCGGAAGTGGCTCTGTGGCTTAAGTGGTAGAGCGCTAGCCTTGAGCTGAAGAGCTGAGGGACAGTGCCCAGGCCCAGAGTTCAGGCCCCACGACTGGACCCCCCCCCAAAAAAAAAACAAAACACAAAAAAGATGAAACTGCAGATTTGTAATAATTAAAATAGGAAAAAGTCTTAGTAACGTATGAAATTGAGAACTATAAAATGAGTATGAATTTGGTAATTATGGTATCTTAAATATGACACTAAACAATTTGCAGAATACTTTCGTCCTGTTAGGTTAATATGTAAACTCCATATATAAATGCAAATATATGTGTATGTATATATTCTTTTTTTAGTGCCTGTACTGGAGCTTGAAGTCAAAGTTCTGATTACTCCCTTTCACTTAAGGCTAGTGTTCTACCACTTGAACCATACCTCTACTTCAAGCTTTGTGCTGTTAACTGGAGATCAGAATCTCTCAAATTTGTCTATTGGAGTTTACTTTGAACCTCAGTCCTCAGATCTCAGACTCCTGAGTTACTAGGATTACCAGCAAGAGCTACCAGTTCCTGGTTGTGTAATTCATAATATAGCAAATGAGATGAGTAGTTATTTCCAAATTTTACAAAGGGTTAACTAGGTCTGGCAAAGCTGAATTAATTTGTTCATACTCTTCACCACTAATTATTGGTAGAAGCTCTTTAGACTTTATTTAGACTTCAGGTTTAGTATGTTTTTCCATGTAATTTGTTGCCCTGTGATAAGTCTTCTAAAAATTGTCTTCTGATTCTGCATTTTATACTTTTTCTAGTGAGCTTTCAGGACTAATCCAAATTATGAAGACTTAGTTATTTACAATAGATGATAGAATTCATGCCAAACTTCATTTAGAACTAAGAATATTTAGCTTTTCGAGTATATATTTCTAGATTATCCTACTAAAAAAGTATTCAAATAAATTCTCAGAAATATTTAAATTTATCATTTTTACCTTGAAAATAAGTAAAACATTCTAAAATTTTATAATTTTAATTTTATGTGTACCTATTACAAAAACTTTTTTAATGGAATTTTGTGGTGTGTGCATGTACATGTGTATGTGCATGCACATGCGCATATGTGTATGTATGTGTGTGTGGGTGTTAGGAAATTAAGACAAGAAAAAAAAGTTTCTAAAATGGAAAGGAATTTTTGTGTTTATCTGACTTATTTTAATGGTAAGAAAATTTGGCGAAGCTTTACTGAATAAGAAAACAAGCAGGCAAGAAGGTAAGCAGCAGACCGACAAGCAGAAAGGCAAAGGCACAACTCTTAACATAGTGGGTACTCGTTTTTTCTGACTTTTAATAGGATTTTAACTCACCATGTATGAATTTATGAGGAAAATAAACTAAGTTATATACTGCTGTCTTAAGTAGAAAAAGGCATATCTACTATCTCTATGATAAATAGATCCTTTATCTCCAAGTAAGAGGTTTTCTCTTTGAAAAGTTTTCATATTACTGAATAATGTATCTTTACACTTTAGTTTCGAACAAGACAATAATCAAAGAAGTAGAATTCGGAATGTGCACAGTCACGTGTGGTAAGTAGCATAGAGCAGATGAATAACTCATCGTAAAATCAGGGGAGGTACAAACAGATAATGTGACAATTGTTTGTCATTTTCCTACTTCTGTTCATCTCTCATTGTCTTGTATGTCTAATATCTGCAACTTACATATAACACTTGGTTGATTGCTTTAAAAGGTAAGATATTTTCAGTTCTTAACCCCTAAATTTTATTTTAAGCCAACTCCCTGTTATTTTTTGGCACTGTTTTTTTTAAGCTGTCTTCACTAAAGTAAAATTTTCTCTGTCTCACAGATGTTCAGAAAATGAGAGATTTTCCAATGCATCTCACAGATGTCTTCCCACATACTGTGTTGGCAAATCTATCAAGAAATATGCTTATTTGCAATAGCCCATTCCAAATTCTCAGTTTCTCCCATTTGTATGTCTCATGTCTTAGAGAAAAGAGCTGTTGGCTTTGTGGGGAAGATAATATTATAAAGAACATGGCTTACTTTGCTCATTCAATGGCTAGAAATTGAACATAAACTCTCTCACATGGGGTTAGGGCTAAATCTATGTATGTTATAATAGACTAGAGCATCTCAGACTCAAATATATACCCTAAATGCCTGAAGGGTTTGTTAGAACAGATTGTAGGGCCTACCAGAGTTTCTGAATACTTGTATTGGGCCTAAGAATTTGCATTTCTAACAAGTTTACAATGAAGCTTAGATTTCTAGTTAGAGAACCATCCTTTGATAATCCCTGCTGTGCAGTATAGGTTGAAGAAGATAACAGATAATTTACAAATGAAATTAATTTTATCTTACCTTGAATCAGCCTTAGAATATCCCTGAGGATCTAGATCAGAATTTTTCAGTTGCAGTAACTGATATTGTTGTTTATTATTTAAAAGCCTGATGTAGATACTATTTATCACTTAAGTGATTTACAATTTATCACTTAACAAGTGATAAATAATATCTACAGTGACTACAAGTGACTTTTTCAGTTGTTTATAAAAGATATCTTTATCTTTGCTTACTGTGTACCTGGTATTGTATGTGCTGGAGATACAGTGAACAAAACAAACAGCTCTGCCATTGAATAAGAAACATAAGGGTTTTTTTGTTATTATCTTTTTGGGTCATGCCTCTAACCCTAGCTACCAAAGAGCCTGAGCTCCAGAGGTAGAGGATCATGATTCTTTCAGCCTAGGCCAAAAAATCCTCAGGATCCTATCTCTCACCCCATAAAAGCAGGGTTGGAGGAGTGGCTCAGGTGGTAGAGCACCAACTGAAAAAACAAATGAAATAAGCATGAAGCCAAAAAAAAAGAGAAGTAATACACACACACACACACACACACACAGAGACAGACAATTTTTGTTGTTGTTGTTGTTCCTATCCTGGGGCTTGAACTCAGGGCCTGGGCACTGTCCCTGAGCTTTTTCTTGTTCAAGGCTAGCACTCCACCACTAGAGCCACAGTTCTATTTCAGCTTTTTTGGTAGTTGATTGGAAATAAGAGTTTCATGGACTTCCTTGCCCTGGCTGTCTTGGAAACCACAATCCTCAGATCTCAGACTCCTGAAGGAGTAGCTAGGATTACAGGCATAAGCCATCAGTGCCTGGCAATTAATGTATATTTTAGCAGTGTCACATAAACAATATTTAAAAGATACAATATGTCAGATAAGTTCTAAGGAAAAAAACACGAAACATGATGTTATATATCTAAAATATTTCTAAGCTTCTCAATTTGTATGTAGAAAAAAATGATGTAGTAAAAAATGCTAATTAACTCCTAAATGCTCATCAAAAGTTTTCTTTTATATCTACGTAAATTTTTGGGTGTCACTTGTAGAGTCTCACACCTACGCTCATCTTAATAAACAGCATTTGGCTAAATAAGCACATAAAGCACTTGCTTGGAAACTATGCCTTGCAGAATAAGGCTGTGCCACTTTCATAAGTTCAAGTGGAGCAATACTTTAGCCATTCTTAGCCTTCTCTTATAATCAAATGACACATTTCCCCTCCTATCCTTCTATCTCCTTATTGCATGAGGAGTCTCCTTGGGACTCAGTGTAGGCCGCAGAACACCTGCATCAGCATTGTTGAAGAACTTCTTAGAAAGGTGGCATTTTAGATTATTCAAGACAGACTGAGAACCCACCATTCAGTAAGGTTTCCAGGTGATTTGAGTTTCTCATAGCTTTGAGAAGCACTTTTTTCTGTTTGTTACTTTAACATAGTAGTGACTCAGTGTAGTCGTCAACCTTTCTTTCCTCTGAGAATAGGTTTTATGATTAATGTCTTATAAAGACTGAAAAAGGAATCTGATAGACAAGAAACCAGGGTGGTTTCTTCCTGAGCCTGTGACTGAAGTCTTGTCAGTGGCTCATCCAGTATTTTGCCATTTCCCATAATTCTAGCAATGAAAGACAATTCATTGGAGCTTTAGAAATCAGTAAAGATCTGATTTCTCATTACCCAAGCGTGTGACAATTCTAAAGACTTATATTACTGGAAATGGAGATTTGGTTATTAATAGGTTATCCTGTCTATATTTAATACAGAGACTATGAATCTAAATATTAGAAAGCATCATTTATGGTAAAAGATGATATTGAAATTTCCTCCAGAAGCTCCACTCTCAACTCCAGAAAATTCCATGATCAGATAAGTTTGGGAAATCCTGTGTATTTCATCCATCTTATTTTATTGGCTATAGGAAGCACATCTTAAGTACTCTAAAAAGGAAAACTTATGCCAATTAACTTATTATATACCACAATTATAATTGTATTCTATACCACAATTATAATTGTATTCTGATTTTAAAGATGTTGAAATGTAAGATTTTTTTACACATTAAATCAATGAAAACATACATAACATATTAATTTATTAGCTTTTTAAAAGTGTCCAAAAGCTTCTGTAGAAAGAGGTCCCTTTAATTTTTTTAATATACCATTTTCAAATGTATGTATGATTCTGGAATCCTTTTTCTTAGGATAAAAACCATAGGAATTTTACTTGAGAAAATATTGTTTTATGAAATAGTTCACAATGAGGGACCTAAGAAAATTCTAAATGCCATCCTCCTGGATTTAGGAATTTGATTTCTGATCTTAAAATTCTCAACAAGAAAAAAGAAAAGAAAAAGAAAGGAGATGAGAGGAAAAGAGAAACGGAGAAGAAAGAAAGGGAAAGATAAAGCCAGACTCTAGTGGCTCACGCTGGTATTCTGGTTACTCAGGAAGCTGAGACCTGGAAGATTGTGGTTCAAAGCCAATTCAGGCGGAAAAGTCCACAGGACTCCATCTCCAGCTAGCCAGCAAATAGCCAGGATAAAGATGTGTGGCTCAAGTGGTAATGCCAGCTGGTACCAGGGGGGAAAAAGATAAGATGGACAGACCTGGATGGGAAGCTAAGACGCTCTGTAATTAGTTTTCTTTTAACATGTGCCTTCTTTACCAAAGGTGTTGGTATTAGAGAAGTTATACTAACAAATGGATGCCCTGGAGGTGAATCCAAGTGTCTTGTTCGGGTAGAAGAATGCCGTGGACCAGTAGAGTGTGGGTGTAAGTTGGACTCCCTATTGAAGATTGGAGTGTGACTGAGGGGACAAGTTTACTCTGGGACAATATTCTCAACCTCTGATTGCCACTGAGTATAAAGAGACAATTGATATTTTGAAAAGGAACCATCAGCCGGTCGCCGGTGGCTCACGCCTGTAATCCTAGCTACTCAGGAGGCTGAGATCAGAGGATCCTGGTTCAAAGCCAGCCCAGGCAGGAAAGTCCACGAGTCTTTTATTTCCAATAAGCCACTCTGAAAACAGGAAGTGGCGCTGTGGTTCAAGTGGTCCTTCCTTGAGCTGAAGAGCTGAGGGACAGTGTCCAGACCCAGAGTTCAAGCCCCATGACTGACCAACAAAAAGAAAAGGAACCATCAACATTTATTTAAATTCCCTTTCATTTTTAGAGAGGCGATGTTCTGGCAAACTTTCTACTTGCTTTATGTTTTTTCAGTTATGTTAAAAGTGTCATGAACATATCCTTCATAATACACTGAAGTATTTAGGGTTCGTGGTTGAGTTTGTCCTGTAGTGACAAACTCAAAACCTCTGGATGGTTTAGTCACTGTACTTTATTGGTGGATTGGTAAACCTTAAACTGGGAACTGCGACGTTTGTTCTGTATTAAATTATGTTAATTCTTTTTTTTTTGTTGGTCATGGGGCCTGACCTCTGGGCCTGGGTGCTGTCCCCTCAGCTCTTCAGCGCAAGGCAAGCGCTCTACCACTTGAGCCAAGCACTACTTCCGGCTTTTTCCATTTATGTGGTGCTGAGGAATCAAACCCAGGGCCTCATGCATGCAAGGCAAGCACTCTACCACTGAGCCACCTTCCCAGCCCTAAATGATGTTAATTCTGACATTGCAACATTTCTAATATGTTTTTCTAACCAGTCAATTGGAAATTACTAGCAAGTCACAAAGTTTATTGTAACAGAACACAAAGTCAAGTGCTTTTATTTCTGCTCTAAATGTGGTCTGAATAAAAAAATGGAGAGCAGTAGAGTCCCCTTAACTGGTTCTTTTGATGTTCTTTGTACCTGTTGCTTCTGATCTCCCCTACACTTACTCCCAACTCTAACGTTTGGAGTAACTTCTAGCAGAATTGATTCCTAAAAGTGAGGCTTTATAAAAGTACTATTTGTGTAAAGCAGTTTTATGCACATTAGTATTTATGTTTTTAACTTTTCCTTTTTTTCTTTTCAGGGGGTAGACCAATTTCAGAAAGTCTTGAAAGTGCTAGACTGGCGTGTATTCATGTATCTCCTGTAAATCGTTTCAAATATGTGTGGAAACTTCTAAGGCCAGACCAAGTAAGTAATGGATGCATTTATAGTCCTCTGTTTTCTAGAGAGTGAAAAAAATTGCTTCACAGTTCTGTTGAACCCCAGACAACTCTTTTTTTAAATTAGTTTACATAAGTCATAGAAACGGTTCATTATTAATTACGTACATGTTTACAATGTATTCTAATCAGTCTTGTTTCCCTTTCCCCTTCCAAATTCAACAGATTTTACTGGTCTATTTTCATATATTCAAATCATTTACTTTGACTATATTCATCTTCTTTTATTTTCCTTGTTAGGTCAACCGCCCTCCACTTCTATTCACCCCTTAAAACTGCCTGTTCAGATAACTCTTTTAAAAAGCAGTTTGAAAAATGATGTTAAAAGTTACACAATTTTATTTTTTATTGGAATTCAGAACTTTCATTATTTAGAAAATTTAAAACTTCCCATGTGTCTTAGGGTTAGTTATATACAGAACTTAAATATATCCATTTTATATGAAGGATTCTATTTTGGAAGCAAAGTTTTCATTGGTTTATGTAAGAGTTGTATAATAACAATAGCAATCATTAATTAAAAGCTTTTGAGGGTCTAGACCAAAGCCAAGTGCTACAGTCTCTTTTAATATACATAGCAACCCTGAAGCATTTTGTAGAATTATTCCATTTGATGGATAATTGAGAAGTAGATGGTAACTTGCCAGTGGTAAGGTGGTAAGGTTGGTATCTGAAGTCTGGATTGTCTGATTCCAAAGTCCACGAGCAGGTGCATAATTAATTGCATAGTAGGCTAAGAGAATCAGTGGTACTTCTTATGCTAAGGGAAATAAGTTGTCTCCTGATGTTAATGCAGTGAAGAGCATTGATACTTTGTTATTTTTTTTTTTAAATAGCAGCCTGTTGTACTTACAAATGATTCAGCAGTCCTAGAAGTAAAAAGAGATGTTCATCCTATGGCTTTCGAGTGTGAAACCCTGGAGAATGGTGAAATAATAGCAACAATTAAATTCACAGTCTATACAACAACTGGTAAGTGTCTGGCCAGCCTTGGTTTACCAGCTTCAAATTAGTAGCTCTGGGCTAGAACTAGTATAGGAATTTTTATTACTAATACATTCCCAGATGAAACTGATCATTTAAAGTCAGTCCTTGAACTTGAAATATATCCTAATATTTACTTCCACCATACTCAGTCAAAAATGGATATATAAAATTCTCAGGAATGTTTACAAGAATTTTGGTGTAGAAAAGTATAGTTAAGAAATGTGAAGTCAGCAATTTTCTTTAAGAAGTTTTAAAGATACTTTCTGATATAGTAATAGTTTTTGATGTATATTACAAGATGTAAATCTTGTCCTGAACATAATTTTACATATTATAGATTATGTTCCCTGATGAGATCAATCTGTGTGTCCATCCTTGCATTTAATCCATGACATTTTCTACATTCAAATAATTACTTCCTTTAGTTTAGATGTTCTTAACTGTTTTTAGTATTGTCATCTTTGTTGTAGGGTATTTGGCTACAAGTCTTTTGAGAATCCAACCAACCTTATGGAGGCTTCTCCAGAAAATTGTTCACATATATAAGCATGGCAAAAATGATGCATATGCTGGCACTAAGGCTTGATGGAGCCTAGGTACTGTCCCTGAGCTTTTCTGCTCAAGGCTAACAGTCTATCATTTGAGCCACAGCTCCATTTCTGGCAGTTTTGGTGGTTAGTTGGAGATAAGTTTCACAAACTTTCTTGCCCAGTTGGCTTTGAACTATGTCCTCAAATCTCAGCCTCTTGAATAGCTACATGGCATTTTCCACACACACACACACACACACGGATATTTGAACTGGGGATTGAGTTTAGGGCCTCATACTTGAAGACCTTTATTTCTTGATTATTTTCCAGGTAGAATTTGGCTTTATGCCTGCATTCCTTGGGTTGATAGGTACATACCACAGTGTCCAGACACTGGTTGAGATGGAATCTTGCTAAGTTTTATGACTAGCATATCACCACCTAATATCCTTAATTAAAAGGAAATCAGAGTTAATTATTTGGGGAGACTCAAACAAACAAAAACAACTAAGTGAAGCATGACTCAAGCATGTAATTCCAGTAAATTGGGAGGTAGATATGGGGGATGATTGTTTGAGGCTAGTCTAAGCCTAAAAATTCACAAGACTCGATCTCAACCAATGTCTGTGTATGGTGGTGGGCACCTTTAATCCCTAAAGGCACAGGGAGACATAAGTAGGAAGCCCAGGCTAGCCTGGCCATATCTTATTTTGAAAAATAGCTAAGGCAAAAAGAAGGTGGAGACTCTTCAAATGGTAGAATACCTGCCTATCAAGCTCAAGGCCCTGGATTCAATCCCCAATACCACCAACAAACAAATAAACAAAAAACTACTTACTATTGAAACTTTGTGAGTAGCTTTAGTGAGCAGCTTAAAAACAAAACAAAACAAAAACAACATCTTTAAACAACAAAAACAGCATCTTTATGAGTCAAGCTAATGACCACTCTGACTGCTGACATATCTGTTGTTATAAAAAAAAAAAGATTAGTAGAGCCGGGCACTGGTAACTCATGCCTGTAATCCTAGCTACTCAGGAGGTTGAGATCTGAGGATCATGGTTCAAAGCCAGCTCGAGCTAGAAAGTCTGTGAAACTCTTCTCTCCAATAAACCACCAGAAAACTGGAAGTGGCGCTGGTAGAGAACTAGCCTTGAGCTGAAGATCTGAGGGACAGCGCTCAGGCCCAAAGTTCAAACCCCACAACCGACAAAAACAAAAAACAAAAAAAACGATTAGCCCAGGGGGGGAAAAGATAAAGACAAAGATAAGAGAACAAGAAAGAAAGGAGGTAGGAGACATAAAAAAAAAAAAAACGATTAGTAGTAGCTGGGACTGGTGGCTCATGCCCGTAATACTAGCTACTCAGGAGGCTGAGATCTGAGGATTGCAGTTCGAAGCCAGTTTGGGCAGAAAAGTCCCTGTGAGACTCTTACCTCCATTAACTACCAGAAATCTGAAGTGGAACTGTGATTCAAAGTGACAGAGTGCTAGCCTTGAGCAAAAAGAGTCTATGGGACAGTGCCCAGGCCCTGAGTTCAAGCCCCACAACTGACAAGAAAAAAGAAAAAAAAAGATTAGTAGTAAAAAAGGTAAGAAGAGTAAAAGATGAGCAGAACATTATCATATGTAAAAAATATCTCAGTCTGCCCTAGTGTATGATATTAAATGTGCATGTATTATTCTTAGACTTTGTCCCCTCAGCCTGGTCCCTAGTGTGATGGTTCAGTCATCTTGTGATTAGAAAGGGATTTATTAGAAAGGGGTTGGGTTTGCTGGTGTGTAAGCTAGAGGCTGGAAACCAGAGCCTAAATGCTCATTGTTTATTGAGAAAAAGTTGACATTCCTCTCTTAGAGCAGCCCAGGACTGGACTTAGTACATGCATTAGTTAAGAGATAAAATGTTTTCAGAATGCTTTTGTATCTATTATCTATTTGTTTAAAAAATTATTATTGGGCTGGGCTCATGCCTGTAGCTACTCAGGAGGCTAAGATCTGAGAATCACAGTTCAAAACCAGCCATTGTAGGGAAGTCCATGAGACTCTTATCTCCAAAAATCCAGAAGTAGAGCTGAGGATCAAGTGGTAGAGCAGTAGCCTTGAGAAAAAAAAGCTCAGAGACAGTGCATAGGCCTGGAGTTCAAATCCCAGGATCAAAACCAAACCAAACAAAAAAGATAATTGGAGCACCACTATAGTAGATCTTTTTGGCTATTTAGACACCAAACAACTCTTTTTGGTTAGAAATGATCACATAATATGGCTTGAAACAAATATTTAATTGAAATATTTTAAGGCAAAAATAGTTTACTTAATGAAAAAATCCATATCCATTCCTTTGTAGGTTTTCATAATTTAGTACCTTTACTATGCTCTTCCTCCTCTCCTTCCCAAAGATACTTGAAAATCCTAAGCTCCCAGTACTCAAAAAATGGATGTTTTTGAAAGCAGAGTCATGGTAGATGTAATTACTTATGATGAAGTCATACTAAAGTGGGATGGGTCTTAATCCAATAGGGCAGCTATCCTTCTTGGAAGAGGTGGGAAGTAAGTGACTGCACGAAGGGCTGGCAGGGGAAAGGAGGTCATGTGAAAGCCTAGGGGCAGGAAAGACACAGGCGCATGAAAGGAGAGGCAGAAGTTGGAATTATGTACTACATACCAAAGGACATGTGGGGCTCCAAGAAATGGAAGGGGTGACAAGGATCTTCTGCTATAATCTTCAGAAAGGGAACATGGTTTAACCAACAATTCTTCCCTACTTCTAATGTCTAGAACTATGAAATAATAAATCTCTGCTGTTTGTAATTCACCCAGTTTATAGAACCTTGTTATGGGAGCCCTGGGAAGCTAATATATACATAAGCTTTGTTAATCTAAAAAGGAAGGGTATTGAAATTCAGCCTATTTTTCTTTAGAAAATTTCAATAAGAAATCCAGTCTTTTTTTCTTAGATATGAAAATGGTCTTTGTGACCCCATTGACTATTGTTATGGTGAACTAAAATCTTTATTCCCTTCATTCTCCAACCTTTGCAGGGCAGTGAATAAGTACAAATGAATTTTTCCTTTCTCTTCAGGTTTTAGTTCTAAAAATGTCTTGTATTTAGTCACTTCTCTAAATCTAAAATAATTTTAAAATAAAAAGATTGAAAAAAATCTGTCAGAATACAAATGTTTTGGTGTAATTTCTGTTATACTTGGATCCAGCTAGTAAAATTATTAGATTGAGTTTATAGTTCTAGAATTGCTAAGGTGAATGGAGAGAGAATCCATATTTAGAGGGGGGAAAATGTAGAGACATAAGCTGTTGAGATTTGTTCACACAGGAGACCACTTCTGATAAGAGGTACTTACCAGTTTGAATACAGTCAAAATAGCATGCACAAATCATTAAGCCTCTTGGACCTTGCTTTACTAACCTATATAATAATATGATATGGTCCTTTATTGTATGATTACCTTTATGAGTCTAGAATTTGATGACCAAAAGAGCTAAGAGGAAGTTATGTAATTTTCAAAACAATTAGTACTTGTTGTCTTTCCACTATCTATAGTGTACCCAATCAGTCACACATGCATATTATAGATAGCTTTCTTTCTTTAATAGACTTATTTGTAAACAGAGCAGAAAGAGCTAGGGCAGAAATGATTGAGTAGAAATATATGAAGGTTATATGGAAAACAATGAGCGTCTAACCTATCTTCTATCCTATACAAAACTTAGAAATGTGTCCTAATCTTAAGTGTAAAAGTTAAACTCAAAGCTTTAGAAGGAAGCAATAGACAATCTACGTGATTCATTGTAGGCAGAAATTTCTTAGACAAAATTCAAAACAATCACCATAAAAGGAAATATTGAATGAATTAGACTTCATCAAAATTAAAGTCAATCATTTGGAAAATAAATAAGACAAAATATGGGAGAAATTTGTAAGACACATAGCCAGAACTATCAGTTTGAGAAAGATCTCACAGATTCTTAGAAAACTAAGTAATACCACCCTGTGACCCTAAATTTCACTCTTAAGCATTTATCCAAGAGTGAAAATGAATGTTTACCAAATGACTTGAATGGGATTCTTCACAAGGTTTTATTACTAATAGCCTAGCCCACAATTGATATAGCCTAGGTATCCATTAGGGGTAAAAACAAACTGTAGAAATACTCTTCAGAGCAAAAATAAATTAAGATATCTATAGATTAAAATAGACCTACAGATAGATCTGTTTACCTATACAAACATCTATATATCCATATCTATCTATATATTTATATCTATATCTGTATATACATGCTATAGTTTCAGAGCTAGGTATATAACTCAATGCTAGAGTGCTTGCCTAATATGCCTCAAACACTGGCTTTTTTCAGCTCAGGAAAACAAACAAAACCACCCAAACCTGTAGTTGCATATAACAGTATAGGTGAATCTCTTAACAAATAATGCTATGTAAAAGAAGAAAAGCCCATACATGAAAGAGCACATCATGAGCAGGGTGCTGGAAGCTCACTCCTATGATACTAGCTACTCAAGATGCTAAGATCTGAGGACTGTGATTCGAAGCTAACCTGGGAAGAAAGGCATAAGACTCTTTCCTCCAATTAACCACCAAAAACCTGGAAATGAAGTTGTGGCTCAAGTGGTAAAGTGCTAATCTTGAGTGAAAAACCTAAGGGAAAGCTTACAGGCTTTGAGTTCAAGACCCACAACAGGCGTGTGCACGTGTACACACACCCACACACAATAAGATTGCATTGTGTATGTTTCCATTCATATGAAGTTTTGGAATAGGCTAGACTGATCTGTGATGGAAAAGAACAGGAGTAGCTGTGCCTGGAAGGTAGGGTAAGTATTAAGGAGGAGGGGCTTTAAGGGAACTTTCTGGGGTATGGTAATAATCTGTCCTGACCTGAATTTGATTACATAGTGGGTTTGCATCTGCCAAAACAAAGTAAATGGCATTAAAGATCTTTGTGCAATTCATTATGTAGAATTTTTACCTCAACAGAAAAAGAAAGAATATTGTAATATTATGCTCTAGCTAATGATATGCCTGATGACGAATTAGGGAAAACAAGGGGGAATATGCAGATGTCTTCAGATGTAGAAATGCATGAAAATGTGAACCCATAAATTAGTGAGCTTCCAGAGAACTGGATAAAGAAAGAATGGAATACTGATGGAACTCTGTAGACAATGGTGATATAGTTGTCCATTGTCAAGTTCTGTCAATGGTTTTGCATGTTCAGGATACTTTGAACACAGAGTCCAAGTTAATTAATAATTTTTGTCTACCAGTTCTTCCTGTTTTGTTTCCAGTAAAAATAATCGTCAGGTGTGTGAATTTTCTTTAGAATTGCAGATGAGAAGATTAAGCCGACCAGACACTGATGCAGTGTTAGTTTTTGTGCTAACCATAGGAGTCATTATCTGCATATTTGTGATCTTTGTATTGATCTTCATTATTATAAATTGGTAAGTGAACAGCCGTGATGCTCTGTCCCCTCTGAGAGACATCTTTATGGCCTCCCTCATCTAGAGAATTACAAAACTCTGTCCGGGGTATCTCCTATGTGTATCTTAAAATTCACTAACTCCCTTAATTTCTCCTGTGATTATCCTCTCTCCAGTGACCTCATCTCTTAGGAAGATACCTTTGAATTTCTTAAAAAACAGTCTCATGACTTATTTCCATAGCCGACAGAGCTTTTAAATGCAATTTTTATAGTTTTACAAGTCAATTAATAAAACCACCAGTTTTTGAATGTATATTTGTGTTGTCCAGTTGTGGTTCTCACAACTTTAAAATGTGGCTACTTCAGTAACCTCTCAATTCACATATCTGAACAAATGTATCCATACCAAGAGTACACTCTGCTAAGTGTGAGAATTTCTCTACAAAGCAGATCTACAAACTAGATGAATGGTGAATAAAAAGTGCTCCTTTATGTAGAAGAGATGGGTAGAAATCTCATGTAGTTTTTTGTTTTCATTTCATATTATTGTTTTTTTTCCTCTTTTGCTTTTTCCGCCAGGGCGGCGGTGAAGGCTTTCTGGGGGGCGAAAGCCTCTACTACTGAGATACATTCTGACATGAGTTCTGTGAGATACAAAGATTCGACATCACTTGACCAATCACCTGCAGAACTACCTGTACATGAAGATGATGCCTTAAGTGAATGGAACGAATGATGTATGGATGATAGATGACAAAGCAAAAATATCAGAACATATCAGATTCACTATTATAAAAAATATAAACTGAGATACTTTTGATAATTAATGTTGAAATAAATTCACCACCGTCTGGAGTTAATGCATTGTGAGGAATAAAAATGTTTTAATCAGTGCAGCTTTGAACTACAGTTATCAAAGACTGCTTGTAATTCTCAGCATTTGCCATTTCAGATAATACTTTGGGGACCTTTTCCTAGAGGTACACATAAATATTACTAATCACTTGATTACTTTTAAGATCATTGCCTTTTAATTTGTAAATAAGAAAAATGTAATATAGAAGATGTCTTGGAGAAGGTAAAGGAGAATAAAGAATTTCTTTTCACACACAATTAGACCAATTATCAAGCAAGACATTAGATAATTTGATTCAATAGATTATCAAAATTATTTTTTATCAAAATTATTTTCAGAGGTTATTATAGTAGCACAAAATATATCTAATGTTTTCTGAATGAGTTTTAGGCCAGCTTTATTACTGTTCTTATCTGATTTATGATACCATTAGCTCTTTGCCCATCTCTACAGAAGACATTGTAAATGGGAATGTTTGATATGCTCCTCTCTAGTAGTCTATAGAAATAGACTGTGTTATGAAATTATCCATGTTTTCTGTTGCAAGGCATTTGCGTTTGAGAGAAGCCAAGAGGAACTGCCTAGAAAATGATTTTGTTATCTTTCGTAAGAATTCCACTAGAGACTTTAAGTGAAAAGAAATTGTTTTCATAAAATCTTCCAAAGGAATTATATTTTATAACATCCACCGCTGATAAGTTTTCTTGTATAATCATGTAGCTTTAGGATAAATGGCTAAAACTTCTTAAATAGTAATTATTGTCCTTATTTTGTAAACCACCAACAGAAGTGGTTCCTTATGGTACCTTGGTGAACTTTGGTGTTCAGTGGATTAACAGGGCTAGTTGTCCCAAGGGCTTTTCACCAATCTTTCTGGCTATCTCCCACCTATATGGTAGGATAATATCTTTTTAACCCATTGTGGTTGGGTGGGGCCATGGCACTCAATTTTGGCTAATGAGTTAGCCCACATTTCAAAGTTCTGAGTGACTATGAGACTAGAACATTTATTTGGTAAAAAAAAAAATAAAAGCAACTCAGACATGCTCAGATAGCAACTTCTCTGACACTACAGTTTCAGAGTAAATTAATAGGCAGCATACATTATATCTTACTATTTTAAGCCACTGAGGTTGACTTGATTTACCTTCTGAATCCAGATGCAAACTTCAGGTTTTTCATGCTGATTGGGGAAAAAAAACCATCCTGGAATCTCAGAGAAAATTAGCTATAGAATGGTGTCTCTCGTCTGTTTGGAGAGTGAACTGACTCTCCATTAATAGTATGCATTAATAGTATGCATTAGTAGTATGCAGTGGTTTAAAGGTTGTTTGATAAAGCAGCTTTACTAAGACTATCCTGATTAACACGTCTCTTCTTAAAAATAAATTGTTGTGGTCAAATATGTTAAAAAGCCTTCTTTTCTACAGGACTTCTGAAAGTTACCTATGACCTGCATACCTTACCACTCTTCAAAAGGGAGGGTATAGGTACAATATTCCCCAAATTTACTGAACACAAATGAAGCCAAGTACATGTTTAGTGTACTTTATACATTTTTAGTAGGACTGTTCCTAATAGGGTACCCATGAAGAGCCAGAACACAGTTAGATAGCAATTCAAACTGTACAACATACAGAAATTTGCAAGCACACATTGACAGTAGTAACTTCCTTAGATCTGTAGGTGGAACTACTACTACTACTACTACCGACTCACTTTGATGGCCTTCCTTGAAATCATCCTACTCCTATAACCAAAGAAAGGCTAGCATTCAAGAAGAATGCTAGTATGTGCTCTTTGTGTTAGATTAAAAGAAAGTTACTTTGCAAAGCAGATCTTCATTTGGTACAGATTTCTACAAAATCATTCCAGACTTTTATGAAATCCCCAGCCAATTATCACTTTGTTCTAATCTGTGTAGTGGGAGATCTGTCCCTGCCTTGATCTGTGCAGTGTCCACTGATATTAGTAAATGTTAATGGAGAGCTAGTTCCTGCAAGCCAGGCCCATCCTCTAAATTCCAAGGTGGAAGTTTTGCTGGACCAAAATATCCTTGAAGTTTTCCAAAATCCAGAAATAAAGTCAAACAGTAATGTATCAGAAAGGAATTTCTCTGTTGGACACCCAAGTCATTGGTCTCTGCATGTGTATCAGTAGGATTTTGTAGTGCTTAGAATAACACCCTTTCCTCAAGAGAATCCTTCATTTATCCATTCATTCCACAAATATTGACTGAGCCATTTCTGTGCCTAGGTACTGTGCCAGGCACTGAGGATAGAGTTTGTATAGAAAACTCCCAAATGATGGAATCCCTCTTGGAATTTATCATTTACTTAAGACGTAGACACTGCAATTAACCACTACCAGGATAAATGCATTGGCCTTTTAACAAACTGTTGATCCTCAGCTAAATAGGATAGTCTGTGTTTCCAATTGGATTTTTAGAATCCTGCTTAGAATGCAAGACCTTTCAGTGAGATCTCAATTGTCTCCCATAATGATTCTTAATTCACTCACCTGTTAAAAACTAAACTAGAAAAGATGATTAAGAGTTTCTCCCAATAACCAAGGTTGATTGGCTATCTCTAGACCAACAGCAAGTGATAACGTGGTTAATAGACAGAGGCTACCATTTTCTACAATCCTGGATATGGTATAGAATGAAGTAGATAGTATCATCTTGTTGAAATTCATATCAATTTACCTTTGTTACTGCGCATAATGCTTTCATCCCACAGTTGTTCTAACATAATCTATATGTTCACTATTTCTGTCTTCTTGATCTTTTAAAAATTGGCGTGATTTTTCTATTCTGATTCTTCATATTTAAATTCATTTTTTGTTATGGAGGACAATCTTTTTGGAATGCATAAGCCATCACTGTTGTGATCCACCATCTGTCTCAAAATACAGAACCCATTTACATGGTTATTTAGGCCTTGAGACTTATGTGATTTTATTATTTGTGATCAAGGCATTTGTATGATGGAAAGCAGTTTGTCTTTGATGGTTTCTGATTCTTGTTAAAAAGAAAAGTTGGGTGCTGAATATCAAGCTTTTGGAAACCATTTTGAAAGGGAAAAACTCACAAAAAGTAAATCTTTCTCTGAAATTCAACTTATGCATTTTGTGACAGAATCTAGTGTCTACAAGTGAATGATAGGTATTTTTCTTAAGAAAATTTAAGATGAATTTTTTAATTCATTCGCTGAGAAACATATATACTAGATTATAATTCTTCATACCTGACTGTGTGTTTCTAGCTATAGGTGTTATTTGAAATTTATCATTTAGTTGTATACTGTATATTTTCACCCAAAATGAAGTACATACTTATTAATTTGTTAATAAAATTAGTTATAAGCAAATTCTGTGAGATGGCAATGTACACTTGACTTTCCATGATGACCATAGGATTTGCCCTTGGGGAATGCTCAGTAGCTAAAGAGCAGTTTATGCTGAGTTACCTTTAATGCTCCCTGAAATTCTTAGTCACTCAAAGTCATGTTTTTCCCCCAGGAGCATTATTTGTTGAGGACAATAGAAATATCACTGCTTCTATATGTTAATCTTGTCCCTTGTGTTGACAGATATGGTTTCCTTGTAGGCATTACTAAGACAAAATTCAAGGTGATTTTGGATGAACTGGTTGGGTTTAAGCCCTCTCATCAGAGATGCATTGTAAGATTTGTATTATTTATGCAACACCCTAAGGTAATACCAATATACGCTTTACAAGGAACAGAAATCATCCGACAATAATGAAATCATGTTATTCTAGAACAAACAATACAAGGCCCTAGAGGTTGGAGGGACAGGAGAGAGGTACAGTACAAGCAATATTCTTTTGTACCCTCTGGGGGAAAGCAGCATACAGCATACAGTTATGAAAGCTAGCTAGCTTCAGAAAGGAAGTGGATATGCTGGGTTTCTTTGCAGCAGGAATAGGAGCTGTGTTAATGTGCCCAAATGGGGAAGTCTGTGGAGGAGGAGGAGGATAGAGTGTTGACCTGAAGTTGAAATCAGTTGTTAAAGAAGTCAGCATGTGAGGGGCCAGAGGAAGGGGTAGGATGGGGTGTGGGATGGGTGGCTTAGGAAGGGAGCAGACGAGTTGTGAGCAGGTGCAGAGTCATGGAGAAACTGGAAGGTGAAGAGCAGCCAAAGCAGAGTGGGAGAAGCATAGTCTGAACAGCAAGAAAAGAAAATGGATTTGGCAGTAACACTTGGCAGCAAGGAGAGTGGGGAACTGACGAGAGAGAGGCCAGTGAGAAGGAGTTTGTGTAAATCAAGGCAGGATGGAATGAATGTCTTGGCAGCAGAGAGAAATTAAAAACAGCTTTTAGGGGGACAAGGACTTTGAGTAAAGCTAAATTGGATATGTAGATGAAGAGAGCCTAAGCCCAGAACTAGGTTTGATCTCTTTCTGTGGTTCCTTTTCCGCTCACCCACTCCCATGTCAGATAGCCCTATTGCATCAAAAATGCTCCCTTGGCCTTCAGGACCAGGTGACATTTTGCTACCTTTCTATCATCCCTTTTCCTATGGCTTCAGTCTTTCGGAGGCCTTTGTTTATCTCCAACCTAATTGTGTGTTTCTTATGTATGCACCACTATTATCTCAGAATATATGAAACTGAAATGTTTTATATATGAACAAATGGGATCCCCTCTGTGTTATCACTTCTGTAGTCAATCAAGATTAAAACTTCACCCTAATTCATTCAAATAATTTCTGGGCTAACAAATATGTCTCCATATCCTATTCTTCCTTTCCATGTCAGTGTCAGCTTGCATTCCCTTATCTACCCCCACTGGGAAGTATATCTGCCCACTGACGTTGGCTATGCCATGCTCTCCAGAGAGCCCCAGCTCTATGTG